GATTTTCAGCAACCTTATGAGTAGTACATTACAAAGATATACATGTATCGCGATATTTCAAATATCGTAGCGACTGAAACATGAGGTGGCCTGGTGCAGCACATTCATTTGCCTGAGAACATCATAAAGGAGAGATTCAGCTGGGTTCCAGGTGAGTCTCTCGAACGAACGAAATTAGTTTGCAAATGAGTGTATATTCGCTAATTTCGTGCAATTTGGTTTCAAGTAGAACATAAGGTTGACGGAAACTCGGGGACTGCGCCTACATGATGAGCCCTGAGAAGGACGAAACCGGTCGTGGTCTGTCGATGGATTTTCAGCAACCTTATGAGTAGTACATTACAAAGATAATTCCACTCTTGTTTTCAACATAGATATTTTGACTGTACGGAAGAGTCGTTTCGTGTTCGAATCGTGTCATGACAGAAAGCTGATTCCACAGTCAGTGCCAACGAACCGGATGGGAGCCACCATGAATGCTATGCGTGGACGAAACCCAGTTGGCCCAGGATCTTACGACGTATGAACCACGACCAAATCTGACTAAGAATCCATTTCAGATCGATATGAAAGACAATATTCATGTGAAGCCAACCAGTACCAAAGGGTACACTCTAGGGGCTAGGACTGCAAAACGAGAGTCACGTGTTCTCCAAGTAAGTTCTTCATATCGCATTACGGGAACTGGTGGAAATTCACTTATTCCCTAGGATGCATTTGCACCTGGTCCAGGTACGTACGATCCCCACGAAACAAAGAAACCCATCAAGATGTGCTTTTTACCATTCAATCAAGCATCTGGACGCGTTACACAGACAATCACAGGTTCAGATGTTCCAGGGTAAGTTAGTGGCATCTCGTGTATCACTTAATTAACATAATCTATCCTACATAACAGGCAGCCAGGCGTACTTAGCTCCCATGGGTGGTTCGTTGCTTCTACTGTAAACCTGATAAGTATATGCTAAACTACAGTCTTCAGCAAGGGACATTTCACTTTCTAGAGGTTTCTTTACTGGAAGGGAAGGCAAGTACCAAGATAATACAAAAGAGTAGTGCGTCAGCTTTAGAAGTCTGTAAGTGCCTCAATGTGGATGGAGGTAACGCCTGTGTACTAAGGCCCTTGCAATTGGCCAAATCTTCCAAAGGTGTTGATGATGAACACGTAACAACCAATAACTCATCGCGACGTTACCAAGGACAAATACACGTAAGACTTTAATCTCTGTTCCGTCTTACCAAACTCTACCATGCTTGTAGGTCTAAAAGGAATGATGCTAACGGATGATTCGAGAATGTCAAAGTTTTGCTTTGTGATCAGTTTGCTATAACCACAGAAAATGCATGTTAGATTACATTGCATGGCCTGTGTTGCTTGTTCCTCCAGAACGTTTCTGATGCCGATCCCCGATGGAGTACTGGTACCTGTTCCCTCTACCTGGGTCGCTTGTCGTCAAGGTATCTGTGCGTGATGGTTGTCACCAAGACAGAGTTGCATCTGGTGGTTGAGTATAGGCGTAAGCCATTTCGCATTAAATTGTGGCAAACTTCGAACGCCATGGTGGAGTCCTCAAAAGTGTGAGCGACCGCGTGGGTTTGAATCTTCTGCAACCTACCCTTACCCATAATTAGTATGGAAAAGGCGCTGAGGGAAGTCACTGATCGAAGAAAGGTGGCATAAAAAAGGAAGAATGGATGAAATCCAATCCAGATCTAGATCGGTGGTATCATTGGGACCGCAAACAATCTTGTTGAGTTAGACTAGATTGGGATAGCTGCTAGTCTGAGAGTCTGAGAATTGCTGTTCCGCTCGCTCCTATCTAGGTTTGGCCAATCCGGCCTAGTTTCATGTCTCAAGTTTCCTCAGGCTGATAGAGCAGATGTATTGAAAGAATTTAACACTTGAACGAGCTGAAGTTTAATTTGACGGTCTGTCACTGACTGGTGACCAGATCCGTTCGATGTGTGTAGCAGGATGGCGGTATTGAATTCTAAGATTAGTTTGACCTTTTGACTGAACAGAAAAACCTATCTCAATTAGAGTTTACGAATATGAAGACAAAAGCTTTAGGCTAATGTTGGATGCACACTATGGACAATTGAAGGAAGAACGATAAGTTATTAGCCTATAAAAATTGAGAGTCTGGCACTCAATCTATTCTTGATACTTCTGGCTCACTCCACCCCCAAAGTGTTTCGCATTTCAGGACAGATGCGATTTCAGACACATTGTGATGATTAGGACAGTGCATCAGATTGAATTAAGGATTCCTATATAACAGTCTCCTATATGCGGACTGACACAGATGACTGATTATGGCACAGTGACTACAGTGCATTATAAGGTTGATTTATTAACTCTAATCCATCGTAGTGCATCGTAGCACCAAGTTGGTCTAACACAAATTATATCCACTCCGCTCAAGGCACTTAGCATCCACAGTGAGTACGCAGTGAACAGAATCACATATGTCAAGCTAGTTTTTGATTTCATTTCATACCAAAGTTTCTGTAACCGGAAAGTTAATACAGCCAACCTCTCAACGAAAACGAATATGAGTCACCGACTGAGCAATCATTTCTGAAGGATGTTAGCTGAGTACGTTAAAAGTCGCAGTCATCACTGCATTCAAAGTGAACCTTATGCTCAATGATGTCCTTTCCAACAGGACAGACTTCTTCATTACCTTACAGCGCAGATTAAACCCTGAAGTGAAAAACACTTTTAAACATGCAAAAAACACTAAATGTAAGTAAGTACAAGGTTTCAAATGTATGTTAGTTCGTGAGCTGAAATGAGAGGAGGTAACTGTGCGAAACAATCAGAATTTCGAAAAGGAATCTCGTACACTGATGATCCCTGAGAAAAACGGAACGACTCGTTTCGATTACTTGAAAATGAATGGCTTGTTTCGCATAAGACAGTAGAGCGGTACAGACGTCGAGGAACAGCGATAGCGCTATCAAGCTGTCGAATAGCATTGGAAGAGATCAGAGGCCGAGGTTTCCAAGGGATTGTATGTTATGAGCCATCGGTGAGGCAATACCATTGTTCGGGAGATGTCATCTTGGTAGCAACTTACTGGCTGCTGCCTCGGGTAAAGACCAAGGTGAGCAATAGAGTATGCTATCATCTATCAATAAAGGAATTGTGTGAGTAGAAAAACAAGTCGTTGTAACTATGCAAAACGTATGTAAACGTATGCAACCCTGAGATACGTCTGCAGTGAGGTTCAGTCGATTTGAGAGTGCTCTTGTCAGTCTTCCACAAAAGTACCCACTAATCCAGGTCTTCGGTTTTCGTTGTAGCCCGAAGGTCGAAATTTTAGCCATCAGTTGCATTAACAGCAAAGGCGGCGAGAAAGCATGTGCTCAACTGTCGTGCAACCATTCAGATCAAGCGCTATGCTAGAGGGGATTGAAAACGGAGGGTTCAGCCACATGGGCACAATTCCAAAGACAACCAAAGCTTTTCACATGTCCAACAAAATGTTGCAGTTCCACCAAACAAGTCCAAAGTAAAGGACGGTAAACTCATCATATTACTCAGCAAGTAGCCGAGTAAGCTGTCTCTACCGAATTCATACTAATACCACTGAGGCGCTCACAGAGCGTTTGATAAAACAGTAGTGATAGAGACAAAACAATGAGGTTAGCTAGCGTGGCCACGAATAATCCCACGAAATTCTGTGTGAAGTGATGGGAGCCTCCTAGTTTGAGTTTACACGTTCTGGAAGAGACCTACAGGAAGCACAGAATTGTGTGATAACTCAAACATGCTTGATAGTCGGCAAAATACTTAGTAGCGAAAATTCTTTTTACAGTAGTTTCAGTAATAAAACCAGAGCAACCTGAAGACCGACCTAAGGTCATTTTGTTCACTCAACAAGGGCTTGCGGAGAATCATGAACGATGCCTCATCAAACTATGGACGGTTCGATTAGCTACATCACGTAACGACCTGGAACGATGACGTCAGCCTAACGTTTTGCTTTGTTTTGAACACATGTCTCTTGGTTGAAGATATGACCCTGGAATGGATTTCACTGGCTCCAGACATTGCCCAAGGCAGATGTTCCTTTTCGACGTTTCAAGTTTCCTATCAGTTCTATCAGTCTATGTATCACAGCAACTGCAGGTGGATGGATGAAGCAGGGCTTGCTAATATAACTGGACGTGATGTTTTGACACATCGCAATGGTAGCAACTTTGTGCAAGCTACCATTCGCAGCTGCACAACAATAAGTGTTGTAAGGTCACATTCAGCCTATTTGAGGAGCTGCATACGCCGTCCTTAGAGGTAAACGCCACGACCTGAAGAAATCACGTCATGGTGCAATGATCCTGCGGGCTATACTGGCTAAAAATTAGCTCCTAAATATTCAGCCGTGCCGAAAAGGCCAATGGGAAGCGGCCCGACGAAGAAAAGCTAGTGCCCGTACTGCGAACACTCGTATTACGAGGCCGTCTGGATGTAAATCCGTGGTGTTCTCTGCGACAGGAGTGCAAAGTTAGTAGGGAGTTTCTACTGGGCGACTAGAATATCCGCATTAATAAAAGTAGCGATGCTGCTTCGAACGGATGATAAAAGGTTGGCTCTATAGTTGACCATGACCACCGGCGCGTTGTTAAATATGGTCGTTGCTTAATTAGGAGTTATACAGTAATATAATACTCGCTGCGTCTTCGGGTTAGGCCGGCCTCCTGCAGCCAAGCGGGTCAGACCGTTGAATCATAGGTACCAGGGAGGGTCCCCCAAGAAAGCCCTAACGATTGCTGTCTCATGGTTCGGACTTTTGAGTCAGAGGCTATGGCAGGATCCCTGAACAAATCCCTGCATCTCACTACCTTGTGGGTCAGGCTTTCGCCTCAAAAGCTCAAGGTGAAGAATCTCAAAGAGAAACCTTCCTCCGCTTGGGTAACCCGAAAGTATCATTCGCCATTGCAGCCCGTTGCTCACCGGCCTTCGTCCACAGCCCCTCACTACACATCGAATACTGCAGTGCGATAAACCCAAATACCAACTCCCTAGCAACTGTTCCGTGTGTAAATCACCACCCAGATGAATAAACCAAAATAATCACTTAATAAATTCAGGAGATATTATCAACCTTGCGGCCTTTATTGTTCGTACCCTGACTATCTCTATCTCTTGCTGAAAACCTGCTCCCCGTATGTCGATGTAAGTTGTATCTCTAAAACCCACATACAGGGCCCAAATTCGGTTGTGTTCCTCAAGCCGCTTACGAGGAGCTCAGATATCCCACATTTCACACTTTGAGTTTCTAGTTAGCCTGGCGCAGTGGCTCGTGGTATCTGCAGTGAGGGGGTTGCGCACAGTCCCAAGGCTGAAAGTGTCTTACTGGACTGGATCCCAGTAAACGGATGCCTTTGCGTCCTGTGGTTCTCTCCCAATTGTGATTAACGCTTAAGATTAAGGTTAACCTCATGCTTGCAGGTAAGCCAATCGACTTGGTAGATTAATTGGTTTACCTGTATGAGTTCCGGTGGACTGGTTGGAGATAAGATTATTCCTAAAATCGGGAAAGCCAAAGCAGCTTTCGCCAACCTTCGACACCTACGGCGCCGAAGTGACGTGATTTTGTCTGTCAAGGGAAAAGTTTACACTGCGCCGGTGCGAACCATACTGTTTTATGGATCAGAGACGTAGACCCTACGCGCAGAAGACACACGGAGGATGTCAGTGGCTGATTATCGTTGTCTCCGCAGCATTGGTCAAGTATGGTGAGAACACCGGACTAGTAATGCTGAAGTGCCCCAGATGGTCTCAGGAAGAAGGAACTCTCTAGCGATAGATGAATTACTTAGGCTTCATAGGTTACACGGGTTTAGATATACCAGCTGCCTCGTAGAGTTCTTTTCGCTCAGTCCTCTTTTGAGTGGAAACGACCAATAGGTGGATAGTGTATTACCTGGAAGCGAAGCCTGAAGTCGCTAACCAGTAAATTGAGTCGGGTCGACAACTGCCACCTCTCTGGATAGGGACCTCTAGACTCAACTCACCAGTGGTTAATGGTACTGGCAGAAATGGCCCAATCCTACAATCGGCGGCGCTCGTGCATCAAAACCATGGCTTTCAATGTGCGTAGCTACTAAGTTCCTGAACTAACGAAATATGCTATCGCCTACAAGACTAGTTCCCACAAGCCACTTCCAGGTGACTGTAGCAGCTAAAACCAGTGTGCCTATAGTACAGGGTCTATAGCTAATAAATTGACTGACTGAAAGACAGGTAGGTTTCTTTGGAACCGTCGTTATTAGTTTTTCATTCCATCTAATTTTCTGTTCGAAGTACGCTCTGCAACAACTGGAGCTTTGCATTCTTAGCACATCCGTGATACAAGGCTTCCAAGACATGTGGTGCCAACTATGGCTCACCGATCGTTTATACTGAATGGGACAATGTCGGTAAAGTGAACATAATGCCTCGTCCAAGTCAGCGTCATCGAGTCATCTCAGTTCCTTGCAATTAAAATATCTAGGGAAGGCATTTGAACTTCTTTTCTACATTCACACGTAAACTAGATTCTCTGGTGAGGTAAGTTAAACTACTGGTCTCTGCCAGTGGTAAACAATGCAAAATCGTCCACTTTCTTAATTACTCAACCTATTAATAGTTCAAGCTTCGCCATAAAAATGTCAGAGAATGCCGGTTGTCAAGGGTTTCCAAGACAATCTCATCGATTTACTTGAAGCTTCTGACTTGGAAATAAAATCTGATATTTTCTGTAAATTCTAAAATAAGCTTCCTAAGCATCGGGGTATGCCGGCAATTGCTGAAGTTCATCAGTTTCATTTTGAACCAATCCATACTCTGAGAAAGTCAGTGTTTGGTCGGCACGCCCACCGAAAAAGTCGAATTCGGCCTCTGCACTTCTTCAACTGTTCTGATGCTAGGTTACTTCAAAGAGAGCTTCAACCTTAGCCTAATCAAATTCTTTTGTCCGTGTGTCTCAGAATATAGGCGATAGGTCGTTAGTACTTGAACAATTTGTGATTATGGTTAGATTATTTAGACGAGTTTGGCCTTCAAGGCATCAGTATGAAATAGACGCTGTCGTTCGAGACTAACCGGTATATTTTCCAGATGGCTGCGACGTGAGTTCCCAGAAAACCCTAGGGTAATTCTGGTTCTAAAACATATTATTCATAAAGGGTCATGCCCATTTCCTGTCATAATTTTACACCGAATACGACACAAACCGTCCATCTGTTTGAACGTGGAGACTTCAGTATGGGAACCCAAGGAACTAAGCCCCCTGGTCAGTTTGAGAAGTGTAAACAACTCGATATACACGCGTCTTCAGCAGACTTTAAGTCACTGATCGACAGAAGCCCCGTTTGTCACTGCTCACTCGTTAGGTCATCATCGACAGCATGATACGGCTTCCCAATCGGTTATCATAGCCTCTCAATTTCCATTTCGTTCACTGGTTAGTCCGGTTCAAGCAGTAACATGTGCTATGTTTGTTCATGATATCTCGCACACAAGGAACACGCAGAGGCGTTTCTAGGCGACAAGGCAAATCTTCTCATGATTGAGAAGGCGAAGAGACCGTTCGCACACTCACTAAGGCAGCGTTATGTACTTTGTGGTACACAGCATGACTGCAAATATTTTCTAAAAATACCAAATCGTCTCCCCGTCCAAGTGCCCATAGCCCTATGGAGAATTCGAAAATAATCGGAAACATCTTTCGTGGTTTTGAGGTTTTCCAACCTCAAACCAGACACCAACCAGGACCGAATTGTTCATAAATAACAACCAAATTGAACAATAAGTGGAGGGGGAAGATCGTCAGGGAGCACGTGTAGTTGCAAAACAAAGGCACCTGTTCAAGTTTTAAAAGCCTGAATGGGTCGGACAAATGTTCGGTACGCACACAACGTACTCACAACTTAAACCGGACAAAGTGGTGGTAACACAGGAACCTAGCTTGTCAAATCCTAGAACTACAAGAGGTAACCGCACAACAAACAACAGACTATCTCGATTAAAAGACTTGTCATAATCTTCAACTATTTAGAGTCGGTACTTACAACCTACGCACATCGAATTGTCGAAGAATTCCGTGGCAACGTGACACCATGCTCCGACCAATTGACCTACCACAAGTTGAACAGAAAAGCACAATTCCAGTCAACACGAACAAGGTAAGTCAGTATGCTATACAATAACGTATGTCCTTTTTTCTTTCAGCTGCCTACAACTACAGAATGTAAGCGATATCAACGCAAGTTGGCTTACTTGCAATTGTACTTTTGAGTGCAACCTCCCCGGACCAGATTCCTTTCAGTTTGAACAGAGAAGTATATGATAACACTGATCAGAAAGTCAAAATCTTCTTATACTCTGACTTGTTATGATCACAGTAAAATATTAAACAGAACGAAACGGAACTATACACAAACATTTAGAGATCGTTCCCGCACATCCAAAATTTACAATGGCCCGAAATATCCGAGAAATATCGATTGCTTGGTGCATAGTCGCCTGAGTGAAAAAAATCACTCATTTAAAGCAAAATGCAGTCCAGGTGAATGAGAGGAGGTCGAAAGGCAGAGTGGGATAGGCTAAAAAAACAATTGAAAGAACAAAAGATAACTAAAGATAACGGATCAATTCATTAAGAATGGAGTAAGAGAATATCAGTAAACCGGGGAGCGAACATTTCACACGTTCAGATCTGAATGACGGATTGAGAGAGAGAGTTTTGTTCAGCTGTGAACTATTGCTCAGTCATCGAAATTCCCCATCGGGACAACCAGAACACGTGGTCGATATTTGTAGGCCGGAACCATCACATCCGATCGACCCGGGAGACCGACAACACGAGCGAAACCGTTCCAGTGATTACCTGCGACATGAATATGTTCCCCTGGTTCGAGTCCCGAGGCCTCATCTTTGATTATTACTTCTGGCGAAACCATTTGTTGGCCACCGTAGTAGTAGGTGTCATCAAGAGACTGAGCCAGACCACTTGCATCACCCAAATCCCCATGACGAGCTTGCATGAGCTCGTAGGAAATACGACATACCTGAAAGCGACCGTAATGGGATAATTTAGTATTGCCGAAAAAAACTGCTAGGCGACAGTAGAGAAGCACTGAATCAAAAAACCACAGTTGAGAGTGAGAAGTTCTAGCTGACGCTCACAACCACCACAAATGAGAACAAAACCACCATTCTGTTTGTCTTTAGGATACAGAAGGGCGAGAACTGCACAGTCTCCTGAAGAACCAAAACGTTTCTTCTCACAGGTAGTGTTCCATTAAAAACATCGGAAATAGGCTCATTTTATGGGGTCGAGAGAGAAGTAAAAGTCCAACGGACGTAAGCAACCGGGATACTGAGTACTTAGACTAAAAATCAAACTGTGCAAGTTATCTTCGTGAGCCAAGTCTGTTCGGCGAAGGGGCAGACTGCACTTAAACACACACACATATATAGTATCATAAATAAAAATTGGTACTTGGTGATGCGAAAAAGTGCGACCTGGAAAGTCTAGACGGCTCAGTTTTTTCTCTATTGCCATGCTACGGGTAAGGGGTCAACGGCCTCGCAGTTGCTGAAGGTACAATGGAGCATCTCGCATGGCTTCGAGCACATGAGTACGCGCATTGATAATGCCTTCACGATTGGTGGCGAAACATTTTCAAGTTGACTGACAAGGGCGGCGAACAGAGTAGCAGCCATCTGATCTACAGTCAACTACCACACCCAAGCTATCGACATTTCAATATCTCGCCAAGTTGATATTCTATTTATGTTGTTGATACACATCTTGTGAGTGAACCATACAGAAAACCACGGTCGGTTTAAAAACACGGTAACGCCTTGATCCGAACTGTCCAATTTAAAAAAAAAAGATTGTGTTTCCCATCCCTATGGCAACGCGTAGACTCGCTGCATCTCCATACTGCCCTAAACACAAATACAAACTCATTGGGGTATAGTATAACATTGCTCCTTAATCCGTAAGTTGGTGGAAAAGAGGAATCCTGATTATTTGAGAGATATACTTCGCGTAATCTAATAGGGACTCTTCAAAATTGCGATTTTTAAGTGATAAATAGAAAAGGATGCCGCATACTCTGTTCTCCGCGGCAAATTTGTACCGCTTAATAGTGATTCGTATCCTTCTAGGCACACAACACGAGATCAAGATGAATCGGCTTCCTGGAGGGATACAGGTTGAAAAAGCAAGCGGCAGCACATCACAGGTTAAGTTCCCGTGCCACGTTGGTGTCCGCTGCCTCGGTAGATGGACAAATTACGTGTTGACAACACCATGTTGTGCGTTTCTATGGTGTTTGTGCATGTTAGGGTTCACAACTGCCTTGCGGATATTGGCAAATAAGTGCCCTTCCGCATCCAGTGTAACGGGATGGGAGCAAACTTATTGTATTCTCATTATGCTCCCCTCTTATTGTGAACCACGAATACAAAGCACTAGCAGCGGCATTATCAAATGCCGCTTACCAGGTTAATTGAAACTCGCGGACAGGAAACACCGGTCTTTTACAATTGAATACCACAGGTTATTTCTGTCAAGTACCTACTGGTAGGTTTCGTACCGTTCGAAGAACACCGTCAGCAGAACGTGTAGGGTGAGGTTGGTTGCTCGCAGTATACTAAAAATGAGGCACGGCCCACAATCGATGGAGAGCCGGGTTGATATCCGATCGGGAAGTGTGACAACGTCAAGCAGGATAAACTGCGGTCGTTAGGCCGCTATAACCCCACCAGTAGAGTGGTATGGGTACAAAAACGCTTCTTGAGCTACTGCTTCGAATATAAAGTTAGCATTATAAAACAGCTTAAAACACCTAGGTTTATTCCAGGAGTATTGATTGCTAAGGGGTTTTCCGGAATAGGCAAACAACAGTAAGCATTTATCTGTTCCTGTGATCACAGACTGAGGAATCGACAAGGTTATGGGCCTCACTCGCCCAGTCCTGTTTGTTGTTCAACCTTGAACTGCTAAATTTACGACCCCTCTCCAACCTGACCTGCAATCGGTCGTTCCAGTAAACACAACTTTCACTGCCGGAGTAAATCAGGTTGGCTAGTTTTCAAGGGGCAGTCCAAGGTGTGTTGCTTCTCGGTATGCGAGGCTTGGATACAGGTACGTTGGAATGTTTTGGACGGTTAACAACTGAAACAAGAACACACATATGCGCGACCAAAGTTCTCCGTCCCCAGTGTGGCTTTCCACATTTACAAATTGATTTAGTCCGATTAGCGGTGGCAGTAATCCAGAGACAATGAACTTCAGAATAGGTCGGAATCTGCTAGCCCTTTGACTTATCATATCAGAAGTAGAGTCACTGGACGGAGGGTGGTCTAACGGATAGTGCTGTTTTCTCCGGTAACCCGACACCAAGCTTCGCTCGTTACGTTCTCGAGCGTCCCATGTCAGATACGGAGCCTGCATCCAGATGAGTGAATTGAAATTCGACCGATCCGATTGCACGACTAGTTGATACAGACCAGCCGTTACACTACACACCCAACTGTAATCAACGCCAGACGGGTTAACTGAGATCAAAAAAGATGGGTCTTGGCCTTTATGGCAACCAATATGGCGAGGTACCATTATACCGCTCCGAGAATATGACCAACTATGCAGCTATGCAGCAAAAAAGTGGTTGGATCGCAACCATCAGTTCAACTTCAGTCCAAATGGGATTATTTGTGCGATGACACATTTGGCCAAGTTGGATTGTGTATAAAAAAGCTGTCAGAGATAGCAGTCGTGGCGACGGCTGGGAATGAACATACTCTAGTTAATTTCTTCACATAAGAAAGATTATCGTGTGTGTGGTAACATACCCAATCAGAATAATCAGCCGGAAACGGAGTTTCTTTTCTTCAGAACGACTGAATTCTCTTTCCATTTCGAATTATTTAAAAAGCAATCGAGTGCTGTACATTGTTATTGTTGAGAACGGTGTTTCTTCCCAAAAAAAAGATATGACCGAAACGAACCGCCGTGCGCACTTCGAAATCGGTTCAATGAGGGGTCCGTTGCATCCGTGTGTTCCAAACACTTTTCGCGAGTGCATGATGGAACATTCATTCTATACCCTGAGTGAGCGACATCTGTCTCTGCCATCTAGGCCACATGAACAGATGGTTTGTTTACCAGCGAACCAAACTCGAAAAACAACTACAAAACAAGATTAGTCACCAAAAGTGCATCCTAATATAACAGCGAAGACAACTGGACTGTCTGGGAACTCGATAAACATTGAACTATCATGTGTTGTTCAGTTCTGCCGTCCAGCGTCATTGTCATTAGTCCCTACTGTAAACAGGACGAATAGCGCTGTGTTCGTATCGCCTTTTGAATTATTTATCAGGCCAAATGAAGTCCGCACCAGAAACGCCCACTGAAACAACGTTAGTGGTATCCAACCGTTTAGTGTGACAGTCTATCAGTAAGCCGAAATCAATGATGTCGGATGTTTTCATTTTGGGGAATAGATCAGCAGTTGAGGGACGTGAAACTGTGCCCTGATGAGCTCTGGACTCTAATAATTTACACCATTTGGCATGAACCCATCATATATTTTGCTCCAGGAAAGGAGGAAAGCCGTTCAAACGAGTGATGTGAATGCAAACTCAACGGATCATGCGACCCTCTATGACTAGCGACAAAAGACTATCTGTCAGGCTTTGGGTGTCCATCAGATTTGGAGGTTCTGACCGGGGGGTAATCGTTAGACACAACCAAGATAGTGATCAGTCGGTGTTGGAGACACCGGGCAAATCAGTCGCGCCATTACAGCGTGATAAAGTTCGCCCGTTCAGATGTGATGAGTTTGGTAGATTCAGCTTCGAATTGTGGTAACACGTTCACCTCGCGTATTAGATGTCCGGGGTTCGGACACGAACAGTGATGTTCATTAGTGAGGGCGAAAAACGAATCCACTGCCTCACCCCTTTGACATGGACTTATCAGAATGACTCAGCCAGGACAAAAGACTGTTCAAACGATAGTAATACGAATGTAGATTCTAAAGGAGAAGGATTTCAGTGAAACCATGTCCATGTTGTTAGAAATGCCTTGTCAATGCATGTGGTTTCTTATTTTCTGTACGGATCATTGTATCACAACCAACGAAATGGCTTTGCAGATAAATAGGTACACACAAAAAGTAAAAACACAATTGGAGCTGTGGTGTTGATTTTTTTGGCGTTCACCATTCAAACAAGGTTCGAGAACGGAAAAGACAGAACGCAAGAATGTCGCTTATTTTTGGAGAAGGTCGCCATCCGGTAGTATTTTCTTTGGATGAATCAGCCTAAATAAAGGCGGGCGTAGAATGACCCGAAAAAGACCGCAAACTTTGAACAACATGTGTGTAGTAGAGTTATTCCACTTTCCCGTTTTCCGGTGATCGAAACTGTAGCAGCTAGAACCAATGTGCCAGTGGCACACGGTCTGTAGCTGATAAATTGAATTGAACCGAATTGTAGCAGAGTACTTTACTGGGTAAACCAGAACAAGATCGAACGTTTTTTCCACCTGGAAGTCCCTGACTGACCTTGGCTCAGAAAAGAAATTTCGTGGTGAACGGGATCGACCAGCTTGCCTATACGTGTATGACGGTGGCTGGACACGGGCGCACGTGAAGTAATACAAGTCGGCCAACCCCAGTGATACAAACTGGTGTGATCATAATAATGCTAGAAACCATTATTACCTGGGACGAAAACGTGCACACGATGTAGTCAGCTTTCGATAGCACCATGATATCCAACGCAACTCCAGTGATAGAATCGGCGTTGCCTCGACTTCCAACATTTGCAGACTCCGCACGCTTCGAATCCCCGAGGAACACGTAGTCAGGGTACTGCTTCCGAGCCTCATCAAGTACTGAAGGATCATCCGTTGCTATAAAAACTTGGCGTGGAGTGGTTGAAGTATAGTGTGGTTGAGCATCATTGATCCATTCCTGATCCCATGCAAAATGGAAAACAAAAATACGCAGGTGAATCGTCACGACAACAGTACGGGTGGTTCCAGAGCCAAAAATTAAGATCAACGAAGCCAGTTGAGAAGCAGCAAATCACCGAAGATCTGCATAGTTCACGGTAAACTCAAAGTACGGAGAAGGCTCAAAACGTGTTGCGCACATCATTCTTGTGATTGTTGCAAACATGTTATATTGTGACAACGTCTCGAACAGTCGATGAAAGGTATGAGAACAGTCACGTACGGTGCGGTGGTGTAGTGGTGGCTGGGAATTCAAATCGTAACCTGGCTAGGAATATGCAGACGAGGGTGAACACAAATCTAGTAAGTCCCCCTTTGGCGTAGCCAAGCTAGAGTAATAGCGCCAGCACGGAAGGTGATGCAAAATGTTCTAATCAGAGGAGAGCAAAGTTGAACGATCCATGGTCTCCGCTGAACCAGTTGTCTAAAAACACACTCGGAGACACAAGTCCATCCTATTGAAATAATAATTATACTGAGCCAAATTCCATCGGCTCACGATAAGTTTGCACTACATGAAAACGAAACGACAGCCTTTCATTGTTTTTTCCTACGAATCAACACCAACAATTCCCCGGGAAGGACGATCGTTTGCCCTCTAGTATGGTGACGGCGTAGATAAAAAGCGAACTGGGAAGAGGATAGATTGTGTTTAGTGAACTGAAAACTCCTGATTAATGCTGACTAAGCGGAAACTCACTTGACAGAAGGTAAGAGTATATGAGTTCTCGTAAGAAATATACCAACTCGTTCGCTTCGGGATGGTCAACAAAAACAAATGACAACTGTACAGTAAGAGAAAACCTTATTGTTGAGCGACGCCGCCGTGAATTATTGAGGAATGTATTGACTGTTATGTCCTTAATATTCTGCCCATTTCACATGGGCGGTCGGAAAGTGCGTTTAACAGTTATTAGTGTATGCGGTTGAATTCGTAGGACTACGTGTCAGGAACCACTAGAAATTTGGACTGAAAATCAGGTTGGACACGCATTCATAGTGGGTCCTCTCAAGATTGCTACCGGGAAAAGTTAATATCGCTGTCGGATCACCAAAAGAATTGTATCAAGATATTTTGCGAAGAGTATTGACACATAACAAAATGAACAAGGTTCAGATCCTTTCCAAGCAAAGAATCTCTGATAGGTTTAACGATGCCTTATGGGTTGTTCTGTTCGGATGCGCGAAATAACAAAAATATATCCGTCTGATCTAAAATAATTCCTGTTATAGAAATATTCAGATGCATCACGTGCTTGAAGTCCTACCGCAGAATGTCAAAAAAGGTGTGATCAGCATTACAGGCCTTCGCTACTAAACACCAAAATCACCTATGCCAGGCCCTATCTACTTCATACAAACAGGATCTCCGGATGAATGAGCCTTTTGTTTGTGGCATTTGTTTGCAAACCTGACCTGAAAAACGAGTGTCTCACACTCATCGACCTAACAATATGAAGTTTCAAATGATCCTGCTGAGGTCGACCTAGAGATTCAAAAACTGGACAGTAAAACCCCCACCTCAATATTCTCGCAATGCGTCGACGGAGTTCCGAACCATGGTTGGGTCTGGTTTCACTGCTTAGAACGCTAAAAACGAGAGTGTTGCTGAAGGTTAACAATCGATAAAAAATGGATCGATGACAACTGATACAACCATCGTGTCTTGATTCTCCCAGTGATGGCGGTTTTAGATCAAATGTTGCTCTAAAGAGCACCCAGTGCATAAAAAAGAATCTTTGAAGAATGGGTAAGATAGGGCATGCTACACATTGTCTACACGCACTAAATGTTAGTAACTGCGTGGTTGTCGAAGCCATACTCCAGATAACAGCCAAACAATCGTCAAGTGGGTTTGGGAACCAAGTTGATGGGTTACCGCGGATGGTCTGGTGATGAGCTCAGCGGAAAAACCTTGTCTACCAACCGGAAAAAACGTGTGTTGTGACGGGAAGCTTGATACCACCAAATTTAGGAAAATATTGTTGCTGCTCGGGGAAGTGGTATTGCGAACTGTCCAATTACCTTCACACAAACAAACTTGCAACTTGTCTCCACCCATTCGACAAGGCATGATTGTTGAAACGGGTCAATTTAAAGTTATTCCCAAGGAGGAAAAATAGCCGTTAATACATTTAAAGCAGCATTCGCCTTGGCGGGGAACATTCTGAAGTCTTCTACTCCGCAGTTCCACCAAGAATGTGACTCTTCAGAGTGTGTACCACCGTCACACAATGTTTCGCGTTACATATAAAATGAATGGAAAATGACTTAATATTTTTCAAGGGGAGGGGCGAGATGGTTCGGTGATTAGAGTGCAAATTTACTAACCACAAGGTCCATGGTTGGAACTCGAAATCTGCCTCACGGCTTTCCTTGTCTAGGCTTGGGCACCCAGCCCTCTTTCTTCGGTTGGCATTGCAGTCAGGCACTGAAAGGGTGTTACACCTGGGCAGCTCTTTAAAATTATTTTTCAAGAACCGATCTGACAAAAAATGACTGAAATAGAACTCTGCAGTCACTTATCTCAGAGCCAGTAATTACGGTTTTAGCTAAGGCAGGGTACAAGAACCCCCATGTCCACCACAGCTCAATTGTAAGCCCTTATGGTCTTTGTGGTTGACTGGCAGTAAACTCTGTATGCCTCATAACATGGGAATCAGGAGCTCGCACGTGGGCGTTGGTCTTCATTGAGTGGGGAGGAGTATTATGGTTAGTTCTAACGTCCGATATCCAATCTGATTGGGATGTCTCGCATGGACGGAACAGTAACTGGTGTCAAGAACTTTGATCACTCGATTTTCTAAATGATTCAGCAATCGATATGTTACACCGTCTGTGCAGAGTGTGGTATTCTGGAAGGTCTCGTGTTGTGTACTAACAACACTGAAGTACCAAATAAAAGCACGTAAAATATGCTGCATACGTGTCAAAGCCAGATATACCGTGTCATTCGATAGTCCTTCGTACACCGTGAACCTCTACATATTAAATGAATGTCACCTCACTTTCCGGAGGCCAATGAACTCACAGTGATCCCATTCACAAACATTTTTATAATTTTCGAAGTGTGGATCATTTGTTCCACACTTCGGCATATGAACAGTGGTTATGGCTAGACGTAGTACACTACTCATAAGGTTGCTGAAAACTCTTCGACAGCCCACATCACACTCAGTTACTTAAAAACACCACAAACGAGGAATTCAGCTGGGTTCCAGGCGAGTCTCATGGCGAGAACAAATTGGTATGCAAATGAGTGAATTTGTGGTCATGGCTGATTTGAATCGCCCCTGTCTGGTATATGTTGGTGTCCAGTAAAACTCGGCATCGATTCTGAGCACTGTACAGGGGCTAATGAAGATAGACGTTGCTACACCTTGTCAGCGCAGGGGTCGAGACCATTCCATGTAGTGCCCCCGTAACTTCGACCCGTGTGAAATGTGCAAGTCTTTGCATGCTGGGTTGGGTTCAGTTCAGCAGTAATGAACCATGTACCCATGACGCGTCACTTTCAGCTGCTAGTTTCAATCACCAAGGGTAAGGAAGACGGGGTAGGGGCAGTTAAGCATTGAAAGCTATGGCCCAGCCAGTTCATGAAAGTTGAATACAGCTGTAGTTTGGAATGCAATTGATTGTAAATAAGCTACCTCTGTTAATTCCAGTGATAACTGATGTATCGCATCCTCATCCAGAGAGGAGTTAATTGCTTACACGACTGAGTTTACTGATCAGGACTTTCACAGTTCGTTACTCCTTTTGTGTCGTTTCTGGTCTTTATGTGGCTGTGTACAATGATCCTAGTAGACAGATGACCTCCTGATCCAGCGCAGTACCAATCACCGTCAGTCCGCGACGCATTCCAAGTGAAAGCCCAACTGAAATATTGAACTAGTAGATCAGTAGATCCCATCGTCCGTGGATTAAACAAATGCATTTATCTAATACAGGGATGCCCGTTACTACCTACCAATTGGAATGCTGATGGCCATTGTGATACAGTAACTAACGCGGGACTCAGTAACGCAAACTCCACGATAACCGAGAGTAACTGGGGTGAAGTTTTGTGCTGGGTGACAACAGTAGTGAGAAAACGTGGTCCTTTTCGGACACAATAATTTAGAATACAGACATATTCCTCTCGCTCGAAGCGCACTGTCTTTGAATGCTGTTTCGACCCCGAGTCCAAACACGACTAACAGGACCCACTGAAGATGATGTCACATTGAGAGTTTTTAATGACTCAGACCATTTTGTTTCAAATCCTCAGTAGCTAACCCAGTTATGAATTTTCTTTAGAATGAGGACGTCATTCCACTGATGCCTCCACATCACCGTTTGGAAGCAGCTACCAGGTTAGTTTTAGAGTCGTGGACTTCTACACCTTGATTCACTAGGTCTGGTAATATGTTTTAGGGATTCCCAGGCGGACTGAGAAGAGAAGGCAGCTATTGAGCAGGTGACGTGTGAAACTTTGTGTTCTCTTATGGACTTTTCTGCCTTCTCTTCGAATCATGAAGATGAGTATTAACAGTGCCGCAGTGGCTGTCTGTTGGGCGAGCATTAAAAATTGGTTAGTATTGCTATTTTTGTCATCCCAAAATGTTCTTCAAGACGGACGAGTTACGTCAAAATAGGCTGATGGAAGAGAAACTTGAAAATTTCCACAGCGGCATGTCCTCAGTGCCTAAAAACGCACACCCAATTTCGGTCCTGAAAGTGGGGCGAACATCAAGGCTCGACGTGATTTGCATACGTAAAAGAACGAACAAGGCGCGGTGACGCACGGACTAACATAACCCAGACATGTTGGGATTTGTGATGAGAAACTCTTCGGTCTATTGTTCAGTCTGTCATCTTTTCTGGTGGGAAGACTTTCAGCCAAATGAGGCAATGATAAATCATTGAGGCTTACGTGGCTAACACCAGCAACTTTCTGAAGGCCAAGTTCGTAATGTC